CTCTCTCTCTTTCTCTCTCTCTCTCTCTGTCTCTCACTCTCTCACTCTCTCTTTAAAAAAAAAAAGATAAGGAAATAGATCAACCCCTAATCAGGCAATTTGGTTCTAAGAGTGTTCCTCATGCCTCTCTGTGTTTCAGGATAGTTTGGGCCAACATCTTCATGTGAATTGTGCACCTTCTCAGAAGTGGCCTAACAATGGAAAGTCTCATTCTCTGCAGTTTTCTTGTCGGTGCTACCCAAGAGTAAGGCTAAAGGGAAAGTGGGTGCATTAATTTGTGGTCAGTTCAGGGGAATGTAGAGCCCAGTGGGCACAGCAAGTCCCAGCTTCTCTGCCTCACAGTTGTATGGCTTAGGTAAGCCAGATCATCTCTCTGCATCTTAGTTTGTTCAACCAATAATGGGTTGTGTTAGGGAGGAAATGGTCTTTGAGTAGTTGAAAAATTCAACATATGTTTATTGAGCATCTAATGAGTACCAGGCGTCTTGGTAGGTGCCAGAGAGCCCACAACAGAATCCATAGTCACAGTATTCCATTTGGTCAGGGTGAAAACATATAGCAGGGGATCTCTCCTTTTCTGGGAAAGCTACTAAAAGAATAACAGTGAAGGGCTGAGAAGGAGTTACAGCCAGAAAAATGTTTCCCTTTGAGGTAACAATTTTTCAGTCTGATAACCTTTGTAGGATCATTCTTTATCCTTTAGTAACTTCAGCAGAAATAATCATGGTATTTATTTTTCCTTCTTTCTTGAAGGAAATTTAGTATGTAATTCTGCACACATAAATCTCATCTTCCTTTTTTATTCTCAGAAAATTTCTTCCTCTATTTTACCTTTGAATTATCTACTCATTCTTTTCTTCTTTGGGAATGCTATTATAAATTTGTTGCATCTTCTTAATTTGTCTTCTATATCGCTTATTCTTGTTCCTTATATCAGTGAGCTTTCCACCACTACAACAAAATATCTGAGATTATTAACTTATAAAAGGAAAAGGTTTGTTTTATGTTCTAGTTTTAGTTCAAGATTGGGCAGACCCATGGCCTTGGCCTCTGATGGGCATGCTGGATGGCAATGATGGAATGTGGTGGAGCAACCTGCTCATCTCATTGCTACCGAGCAAAAGAGGTCAGGGCCAGGGTCTCATGATCCCTTTAGGGGACACACCCCAAAAAGAGATCTCTCCTAAATATTCCACTGTATCCCAATGGCTCCATCTTGGAAATGAAACGTTTCACTAATGGACCTTTGGGGATCATCCAACATCTAAACTATAGCAGCCTCTCTTCTCCATTTTTTTCCCTTTCAGCAACACTTTGTGTAATTTTTTTTTCCCCCATACTGGGGATTGAACCCCAGACCTCACATAAGTGCTAGGCAAGTGCTCTACCACTAAACTACATCCCCAGCCCTTTTTATTTTATTTTGAGCAGGGTCTCACTTATTGCCTGGGCTGGCCTCCTGAGTAGCTAGGATTACAGGTGAGCACCCCCATGTCTGGTGCTTTTTTTTTTTTTTTTTTTTAAGTCCTGGGAGTAAAACCAGGGCCTTGCACATACTAGGTAAGTGTTTTACTACTGAGTCACATCCACAGCCCCACCTCCTTATTATTTTTGGTACTTGGGATTGAACCTAAGGGCACTTTACCACTAATCTATGTTCCCAGTCCTTTTCATTTTGAGACAGGGTCTTGCTAAATTGCTGAGCTGGCCTCAAAGTTGAGATCCTCCTGCCTCTACCTTTTAAGTAGATGGGATTATAGGTAATTGCCACCATGCCCTTGCTAGGTTTTATTGTATATATACTTTGTGTCACTCCCTTAGTACTGAGAGGATGTAGCTTAGTGGTAAAGAAATGAGGTTCAATCCCAAATATCAAAATAAAAGAGTGAACCAGGGGCCGTGGCACATGCCTATAATCCCAACAGCTTGGGAGGCTGAGGCAGGAGGATTGGGAGTTCAAAGCCAGCCTCAGCAAAAGCAAGGTGCTAAGGAACTCAGGGAGACCCTCTCTCTAAATAAAATACAAAATAGGGCTAGGGATGTGGCTCAGCGGTCAAGTGTCCCCCAGTTCAATCTCTTTTACCAATAATAATAATAATAGTAGAGTGAACCATAGGGCTGAGGATGTGGTTCAGTGGTAGAGCACTTGCCTAGCATGGTGAGGCCCTGGTTTTGATCATAAGCATCACAAAAAAAGAAAAAGGAAAAAATATACATTGTATAATTGCTAGGATAACTACTAGAATGAAATCAGAATATAATTTCAAAAGGAAAAGAGAGAAAGAAATAGGACAATTGAAGATGATGTCAACCCAAAAGAAGAATAGGGAGAAAAGGAAAATATAAAACACATAGGAAAATAAGGTGACAAGCTTAAATTCAAATATGTCCATATATACACTAAATAGAAAAATAAAAACAGAGCAGCGTGCTGAAAGGGGACCCTCCCCCTTCCCCTCTTCCTTTGTGCTTTAGACCAGGACCTCCTGTACCACTAGTGACCACAAGGAGGCCAAGGGACTCTCATGCCAGCCTTCATAAGCAGCTGAAAGCTGAAACAATTTGGTAATTTGTAAAACATCACAGACCTCAGGCAGGATGCAGATGCTCCAGAATATCAATGTCATAGTTACAAAGGTCCATAGAGATCCTGACAGGCGCAGCGAGGTCAAGGTTGTAAAGGGTCCCAGAGGAAATATAGTCATTCCCAAAGGGCAGGGCAGAGAGCAGAGAGGAGATTCTAAAAGGAAACACTCGTGCAGAGCCCACCTTTATGTCCAGCATCTATCTAGCCTGCATACTCTGAAAAGGAATTAAAAACAGTTCAGAATGACATAAAGACCCCAAGAAAGAGACACAGAAAGAAAGATATGAAGAGTAAATTAGCAAAAAAAAAAAAAAAAAAAGGAAAACTGTAGCCAATAAGGGGTAAAAGTCACACTGGAAACAGTAAAACACAGCATCTTACTAAGTTGCCCAGGCTGGCCTGGAACTCATGATTCTCCTGCCACAGCCTCCTGAGTAAATGGGATTGCAGGTGTGTACCATTGTGCCTGGGATGAAGAAGCACAGGACAAGGGCTGCAGGCAGAGGAGGGAGGGCATTCTTTGCTGTTTGGGTGAGCACTGGGACAGAGCTGAGCCTGCTGCTTGCTTCCTTTCCTTCAATACCCAAGCAAGTTTTGTTTTAGTTACCAGAGGGAATTTTCACAGTCAGAAGTATTGGGGAATTTTTTAAAGTTAATCCTATTAGAATATGTTTGATTCTTCATGAAGGTATATTTTTAATAAAAATTTATGGTTATATTAAATATGCACAAAGGGGCTGGGATTGTAGCTTAGTGGTTGAGCGCTTGCCTCGCACATATGAGGCCGTGGTTTGATCCTCAGCTCCACATTAAATAAATGAATAAATAAATAAATAAATAAAAGATATTGTGTCCATCTACAACTTTAAAAAAAAATGCACAAAAGTGCGTAAATCATACGTGTTCAACTCACTGCATTTCATAAAGTAGCAACCATGAAGATTTTTTTTTTTTTAAATCAAGAAGGGACTGGAGACCCTATTTCAGAATAAAAAATAGAAAGAGCTAGGACTGTAGCTCAGTGGTGGAGTGCCCCTGGGTTCAATTCCTAGTATGGCAAAAACAAAAAAGATGGTAGCTGGAAATATAGCTTAGTGATTGAGCATCAGCCTACTGAGACCCTGGTTCAATCCCAGAAGCGCACACAATTAGAAATAACATAGCAAATAGCCCAGAAGTCCCCCTTCTCAATCCTCACCTTCTCCAGAGTTCATTATTGTCTTGACTCCAGATTAGAGTAGGTCTTTAAAAATAATCTGAGTTAAGGCTGGGGATGTAGCTCAGTGGCACAATACATGCTTTACATGCACAAGGCACTGGACTCAATCCCCAGCACCAAAAAAAAAAAATTGAATTTAATTTAGCCTGTTTTGTATTTACATAAATTTAACCTTGTAGTTTGTATTCTTTGTCTTGAAGAGTCTTCAATTATTGTGTTTCACTGTAGATGGTTCATTCTTATTGTTGTCTAATATTCCATTGTACATCCCATTCAATTACTTATTCAGAATATGATACTTGGTTGTTTCCGCTTTGGTTCTTAGAAGTAGTGCTGTTATGAACATTTTCGATGTGTCCTTTGATGCATATCCTTGTCTATTCTGGTGGATACACATTGAGCAAGTGGTATATGCATAATCATAGACGCATGTTTGATTAGCTATAGTACAAGTTCATACTGCCAGTTTAGCTAGTAGACTAGCTTTATGATGCTCTTTGAGTGCTCTTATAATTTCATATTTCCTTAATAATTAAGTGGGTGACAATATATCCTTGATGGGGTGAACAAGGCAGTTTGTTATTGGGGGATAAAAACTAAGAGGCCATTTCTTTTTTCTTCCTACAAATGATGAGTAGATTGGGAGACCTGTCTGCCCTTCCTCCTGAGCTGATCACCTTGGAGACATGTGCACAGAGCCTATGGACCTAGTTGCTTTGGCTCTTGGTTCTGAAATGCCCCCTCTTAGGGGCACCTTGCTGGAGGTTGCCACCACCTGCCAGCCTCAGGGATATCTGCTCATGCCTTTAGCACAGCACCACTAAGCCAAACTGATCACGGGCAAGATTTTACTGTAGAATCGGGAGCAGACTTGAGAGTGCTGGTCATAGTTTACCCTACGGGATGTGCTTCCTTGCATTTCCTTTTGGATGGCCTCTGTCTATATCCCCTAGAGCCCTGCCAATGGGAATGTCTCCTCTGCAAGACAGCCCATTCTGGCCCATAGGTCTCTAAGGGACATCTCTGTGGTCCTGCCACTATTCATGATACCTAACTAGGTGTTAATAGAGGGGAGGGTTCCCTTTCATCAAGAAATGACACTGGATCTGCGAACTTAGTGGACCTTAATTCTAAATAGTTGCCTGGGGTGGGTTCTCCCAGGCAGCTCAGCAGTCCTTGTCTCACCCAGAAATTAATACAAAGTGTCAGTATGGGGTAGGGTGGTATTGGGTGCTGTGCAGAGCAGGCCAGACACAATCCCTTTTCTGCGTTGCTCTGTGGCAGGAAGGAAAAAGGGAAGGTGCGCTTGGGCAGCATGGGTGGGCTGTGAAGCTCATCATGGCCTGAGCATCATTTGGATGGCATTGTCTTTGCCACCCAAGTTTTTCATAAGGGCTTGGAGGTCCCATGCAGCCCCACCAGGTGTAACCCTTTTGGTCTCACTAAGAAAAGTAGCTTAGTTGCTCAAGGAAGAGGGCAGCAGTGGGGAAGGTATGAAATCAGGCATTTGAATCTGTTAGGAGCACATTTTATACAGGCAACACTTACTGCATGTTTGTTCCTATGTCTTTTGTAACAAAAAGGTACCATGGTCACACAAAGTGGACAGTGAAGATGATGACAATATTTCTGAGCAAGATGGACTTCCAGGTTCCTTACCTCTTACACCACAGCATATACAACAAAAAGGTAAAGTAAATAAATAAACAAACAAGCACTTTGATAATAATATTGACCACCAGTTTTGGTGCCATTGCATTTCCATTCTGTGAGCCATGATCTTTTTCAACTAGGAATATATTTGTGATTTATTTTTACTGTACGTAAGTTATTCCACAGTCTATTGCATGGATGTTAGGTGCTTTCTTTGGAGCCCCTGTTGTCTGTTCTGTGGGCAGAGTTTCAGTTCAGACTGTGACATCCCACATGCTCCTCTCCCTCTGCTCCCTGCAGTGAATAGGTGGGGCCACCTGTCCAGTTCTCCACACTAGCCCCAGGTCTGCAGTAGGACCTGGCTGCAGTGGGCCATCAGTGAAGTTTTGTTGGACACATGAGTGTGTGGATGTGTTTCGGATGCAATTCTGGAACTGTGCATCTACTTTCTTTATTTACTTATTGATTGATTGACTCAGTGAGAAAACTCAGTGCATTATAGCAAAGTTAAGGATATTGTTCCCTAAGAGGTAGAAGTGAGAAAGATCCTGGAATATAGTGGGCAACAAGTAACTGCTTTATCAAGTGGAATTGCTTGGGCTCTGAGACACTTTTAAATAAATCAAGTACCTGGTTGGAAAATAGAATGCCAGCCTAGTAATACCTGGGCCAGAAAACTCCTGTTGGTTCATTGGCATATTTTAAAATATTAATATTATTAAGTTTGGCTGAGGGCATAGCTCAGTAGTAGAGTGCATGAGACACTGGGTTCAACTTCCAGCACCTCCAGTTAATTAATTCATAAAAATTATTCAGATAAAAGGTATGTCTTTTCTTGTTGTTGTTAAGTAATATTTTCTCACTGTAAAATAAAAAACAAACCTAAAATTCAGAAATGTGTAAAATAATCATACGTAATTGTCCCCCCCGCAGATAATTATTTTCAACACTTTAGTGTGTAAATGTATGAAATACACACCATTTTGTTACCTACCTTTGTTTATCTCACAACACACCCTAAGTGTCTTCCTATGCGCATGCGTGTGGCTCTTTCCTCCCTGCATCACATCAGTCAGGATCCAATCAGGAGACAGAACTCACACAGCAATTTCTTTTTTTCCTTTTTTAAAATTATATTTAGTTATACATAGAGGATGCATAGAACATACAATGAACCAACAGGAGTTGCTTAGTGCCTCCCTTTTGTAGAGGCTGGCTTTGAACCTGCTATCCCCCCGCCTCAGCTTCCTGTGCCACTGTGCTCAGCATCTGACGTGACTTCTTAGGGCATTCCATGTGGTTCCTTCTACTGTCTTCAAATACACATCTCCCTGGCCTCAGTAACATCTCACCTTCCTTGTGTCTGCTTCCTGGGGGATCCCTTTGCAGGCTCACCTTTCTTTCCTGCCCCTTAGATGTTGACATTCTCCAATCTTAGTCGAGGCCCTTTTCTCTACGCTTCTAAGCTCTTGCACCCTCCTTCCCTGCTTCAAATGCTATCTGTGCTGGGTTCTTCTCCCTGCTTCATGTTACCAGTTGCTACAAATTGATTCTGTTGGTTTATCCACTCAGCCAGCAGATACATGTGTACCTATGGAGTTCCCACCATGTTTTGGCACCACTGTAGCAGCCAGCACAGTCTTCTCAAAACATGAACCTGGTAATGGCCTCATGCATCCCACACCCTTTTGACTTAGATCTTTTCCATGGTTCCCTATACCTGGCACTCTGGTGTTCATTTGTTTCCTCAGCTCCATGATGTCCCTTCTGCCATTGGAACTTAGTACATGGCATTTGCCCTCCCACCATCTTAGGTGTCCCTTAGGTGTAGATGTGTGAAAAGGGGTAGCAGGTGGGTTGTGCGCCTGGCATTTCTACATTCACATAGATTGGAAAGAAAATATGCTAACCTGATAACTATGATTAAGTCTAGGAAGGAGAAGCCTCAGGAGATTATGGTCATAGAAGGAGTTTTGACTTTTCTGTATCAGAAGTTTTTGACAGCAAGAATGTATTCATGTAGTATGAACTTTCTAGAAAGATTGGGGTAGTGTCCAGCATGACATCTTGGATATAGTGGGATGCCCAATACAAAAGTTCTTGTTATTTTAATTGTCTCTACCCCTTGCCCATACATATAAGAAAAATGAGAAGGGCAAATTTTGGAAATCTTTTTTTTTTTTTAAGATTTTTTTTAATGGACTATCACACTTTCTTTTTTTTTTTTTTAATATTTATTTTTTAGTTCTCGGTGGACACAACATCTTTATTGGTATGTGGTGCTGAGGATCGAACCCGGGCCGCACACATGCCAGGCGAGCGCGCTACCGCTTAAGCCACATCCCCAGCCCAAATTTTGGAAATCTTTTTGAGAAATGTTTCTGAGAAATGTTAAGTAAGAAAATAGGAAATAAAATATATACAGAGAACCAAGAGAAACACACTTACATTAAATACCAGAGTGAACTTGGGATGATGTCAATTGTGAATTTAATCGTCATTAGATTCTTTTTCTGAAAAGTTTATGACCAAGATGAAATAGAGATTATTTTCTTTGGAGAAATAAGTGACTTGCTTTTTAAAATCTTTTATTATGATAATTTTGAACATGTACAAAAGTAGAATATAAAGTGTTCCCACCACCCCATCACCCAGTTTCTACCAACTGTCAGCATTTTACCATTCCTCATTTAACTCCTCAACTTTATTATGTGGATATTGTGGTGGGGGGGACTTGGGATTGAACCTGGTGGTTCTCTGCCACACAGATACATTCCCAGTACCACTGCCCTCTGCCCTTTTAAATTTTGAGACAGTCTTACTAAGTTGCCCTGGCTGCCTTGAACTTGTGATCCTCCTGTCTTGTCTTCAAGTTGCTGAGATATCAGGTGTGTGCCACTACACCTGGCTATTTTGTGAAGAATTCAAGGGGGATACAGAAGACTTTATTAAATATGAGTGCATCATACTGTGGCATCGTAGGATACCAAATTAAGATTAATTTAAAAGTGTTATTAAAAATGTAAATTTGACTGAGGGTGTAGCACTTGCCTAGCATGCATGAAGCCCTGGATTCCATACCCAGCTCTAAAACAAAACAAAAGGGAAATATTTTTCTTGTGTCACTTTAAATGTTTTGCTCATCAGAAATGTATTCATGAGACAGAGAAGACAGAGCCACTTGTCCTTCCCCTCACATTCCAGTTGTGGAGGAAGGCATATAGATGGTAGACTGCAGTCTAAGCTGCTGAGGGGAATAGCGGGAGGCACTGAGAACAGGGGCATGGTTAACATAGCTGACAGTTAGAGAAGGTTACCAAAGAGGAGGACTCAAGGACAGGCTGGGGATCTCCAGATGATGAATAGAGATTTATAGCCATCTCACAAAGGCTGCCCCATAACACTTCACCAAAAGCAGTTTGATTAGAAACCATAGTTAAGGATGACTTTTTGGTCAAAATATGTTCATCAGCCAAGTGTGGTTTGCATACTTATAATCCCAGCAGTTTGGGAGGCTGAGGCAGGAGGATTGCAAGTTTGAGGCCAGCCTCAGCAACTAAGCAAGGCAGTGAGACCCTCAAAATGAAAAAATAAAAGGAACTGGGGATATGGCTCAGGGGTTAAGTGCCATTTTGTTCAGGTTCAATTTATGGTACCAAATAATAAGTTTTTAAATATTTTTTAGTTGTAAATGGATCTTTTATTTCATTTATTTATTTATATGCGGTGCTAAGATTCAAACCCAGCGCCTCAAACATGCCAGGCGAGTGCTACCACTGAGCCACAACTCCAGCCCCAATATAATAAGTTTTTTACAGATAAGTTGATAATTCAGATGAGCCAGGAAGTAGATTTAGAATCTTGCATGCATCTTTAAGTATGTTTATCAACTTTCTGAATTCTGTGGGGTTTTCTTTTCTTTTCTTTTTTTGCAAGTTTGATTCTGTTCATTTTTAGCCAGTTATTTATACTCTGAAAATCCATAGTAGAAAGTTCTAAGCAACCAGATGTCCAACTTATATACTCTAGCAAAGTATACAGGCAAACTCACCCTCTTCCTGGGGTACCTGAATGACTAATATGTGGAAGATGAGGACTTGGGCAGGATTTGTTTTCGTATGTATCACTGAGGCACTTCACTTCAAGGAGCAACTGGTTTTCTGATCCAATCCAATGCTAGTTGGCTGGGTAGGCAGAGAGAAGTCAAGCCTTGTTCTATATGGTCCACTTGGAGAACAGCAGAAGGAATTTGAGGAGCCCAGCTTGGGACATTGAGAGCTTTGGCCTCTGTTCTGCAGTTATGTGAGCTACCACAAGGGCTCAGGAATGAGCCTGATAGACAGATGAGTGAGAAAAAGTCAGGCTCCCTGCCCTGCCCAGGGACCTAACTGCCAGGGGCCTTGCCAAATCTGTCTCTGCCAGGGGCTTTGTTTAGCTCATCTGCAGGAGACAAATTTTTATGATTATACTGTCAGATCTTTTATCTACCTTAATTTTTTTTCCTTTTTTATCAGATAGTAAACACTCTGTTCTGAATTTAAAGGTAAGCTTATTTTTTTTTAATTCATATTCTCAATAAATAGAATTTATACTATAACTTTTAAATACTCTTAGGAAAAAAAATCTTCCCATCAGATTTCTTTCCTATTGAATGTTTCTTACGTACATTTAAAACATGGAGGAATTTCATGTTTTCCATAGTTTGGTAATGAAAATAATGTATTGAAAGGTTAGAAATTGCATAATTTGTAGAATAATAGACAACCTTAATTGCCAACATGAAAGTAGTTCTTGCTTAAGTTTTCAGTTGTGCGATGTCATAGGAATTTAAAAATTAAACATTTCTCAGTAGAATTAATTAATAACCTTATCTACTTTTTCAGCAGAAATTAGAAACTTAATATCACACTGATATACAATGGAGAAATTTAACAGAATTTTAAAGCCTTCTTTTTCCTCTAAGATTTGGACTGAGAAGCAAGAATGTTTTATTTTCTCAGCATTTGAAAACATGCTTTGCTCCAATTAATAGGGTTCTTTTTTCATTTCTAGTAAGAAAAGGTTCTGTTTTTATATTTCTGTGTGGCATTTATAGCCATTTCACAAACTAGCTTGGCGTAGTGGTGCACACCTGTAATCCCAGTGGCTTGGAGCTGAGGCAGGCGTTCAAAGCCATCCCAAAAGTTCAAAGCCAGACTCAGCAGTTTAGCAAGGCCTTAAGCAATTCAGCAAGACCCTGAAAAGGGCTGGGTATGTGACTCAGTGGTTAAACGCCCCTGGATTAAATCACTGGTACCAAATAAATAAATAAATAAAAAGGGGCTTGGTATATAGCTCTGTGTTAAGTGGCCCTGGGTTCAATCCCCAGTACCTGCCCCACCCCCCACCAAAAAGAAAGAAAGGTTCTGAACTGATGTCCTGTCATTCATGGGACCAACATAGAAAAAAGCAGTCTCTGAATTCACAGGCAAGACAGAAGAGAGTTCAGACAGGACTTGCTTCTCTGTCTTAGAGGTCCTACCAGGAGGGAACACCCCTTAAGGTTTAGTTACAAGAAACAGTGGCAATTAAAGTTTTGTTTTGTTTGGTTTGGTTTGGTATCAAGGATACCAACCCTTTTTATTTCATTTGGAGACAGGGTCTCACTAAGTTGCTAAGATTGCCCTCAAACTTGCAGTCCTCCTGCCTCAGCGTCCCCAGTTGCTGGGATTACAGATGTGTACCACCATACCCAGCTTAGTCCACTTTTAGAAGGTGCTGGGACTCTGTACTCACATTCTCCTGTTTTTTCCTTAGGATGAAAAAACACCATTATGTGAAAAACCTCCTCCTTCCCCAGGTATTTGCCTTCTGTTGTTCATTATGACTGAAAAACTTAGTTTTAGAGAATACCCAGAATAGTCTCATCTGAACATAAAATTCACCTTCATTTTCTTATAAAGGCTCTTTGTTTCTGCCCAGTGTTATTGGACTTGAGAAGAGGTGTTTAATTGTTGAACTCTGCCTTTGTCTTCAAAAAGGTCCAAATACTGGGTGGTGGGTGTATGTCCACGTGGGATGTGCTGAGGTCCGGATATGTAAATGGGTGTTGTGCTCAGAGATTGATGTTTTGTGGGATATACCCCCTGTACAGTTTGGGGAGTCTTAGTAGCTCTCAAAGTGGATTTTGTAATTTGGGGTGGTTATGTCTCACATCACTAATCTGAAAACCTCTATTCTGATCTGTCCTTCATATCTGACTGTGTTTTCACCCTCCCTGTTGTGGTGTTTTTGGCTTCACAGGCCAATTCCCCATTCTAAGAACCTTGCTGTTCAGCCTTTGAATTTGTTATTAATCAGAATCCTTCACAGTTCTAGCCCCTGGCCACACTTACTGCCTGAGATAGAATGAGCAGGAGAGGTTGGCTTTCTAGACTGAGGAGGGCCAAGAAAGCAGGAACAAGGAGAAATGGATTAGTCACTTCAAAGTGACTTTCTTTGTAACATGGGCACTGGGAGACAGAACAACAGAAAAATGACCAAGTTTGAGAAATTTGGTTGTAGTTTCTCTGTCCTGAAGTTAGAGAACTTAGTTGATTTTTTTGTTTGTTTTTTGGTGGTGCTGGGGATGGAAACCCAGAGCATGCCAGGTGAGTGCTCTACCGGTGAGCCACATCCACAGCCCTAGATAACTTAGTTGAAACAAACAGTTCAATGACTTGGGGCTTCAATTGAGTGACTCCATTGCCTTTGATAGCACCTTATTCCAAAACAATGGCTTCCATGGCTTTTATTTAATATGTTCACCCTTGATTTTCCACCCCCTCCACTGCCCACACCCAGGCAGCCATTGAGCTGTGACAAGTTTTAGCCTGAAGCCTACTTTCACTTGTCTCTTCCCACCAAGCCCCAGCTCTGGGCTGCCCCTCAGGGCTCTGGGCTGGGCCCATTCTGATCTTCCCTGCTGGCCTCAGAGATTCCCCTGAGAGCAGAGCCTCTTCCTTTTCCTACTTCTTCCTTACAACATTTTTGGCTCCTGGTGACCTTGAAGGTAAACCTGCCTTCTTAATCATACACTGCCACAGCCTCTTCTGTCACCTTGCTTCCTGTTAATCCTCTACAGCCTTGCCAGGCTTTTTCCTGCATAGGACATTCCCTTTTCAGGACCAAAGACCTGACACAGCCCCAGGCCTGAGATGAAGTAGTTACTCACATGGTTCAGGAATAAAATCACAGATGCTTTCTGATGAAAATGGCAAATATCAATAATTTTAAAGTATTTTTTCACCGTACCTTTTCAGATGTAACTGATAGAGCACGTCAAAGATGTATAGAAATAACCAAAGAAAAGTTTCAGGAATTAAAAGAAGAAAATTTGCACCTAAACAATACAAATCAAAGCCTTACCGTTGAGCTGTGTGCAATAAAACAAGCAATGAAAGAATTACAGTTAAAACTAAAGAGAATGGAAAAAGACAATGAAAGGCAGAAAGAGGCTGAGAAAGCATCCTCTCAGGAAGGTTGGGACAAGTACACTTCATTCATTTTAATCTCTATTTTGACAGTTAATGTTTCATGTTGTATATTTGTTGATACTTATGTGGATAACTTATGTTGTCATATTTAATAGTCCTTCATTACTATCTTTATGCTTATTGAAATTTGGTTTCATCTGCTATATGTTTTTTTCATTATTATGCTCAAGAAATTTCAGTACTTTTGGGACTTGATGCTTTATTAGGCACAGTATCTTACATGTACATGTATTTTTATCATTTTTTATCTTCATGTACAACATATAAAAGTGCCTTTTTAACCACATACTTACCAGTGATGAAGAGCATATCTTCCTTGCTAATTAGGTAATCAAAAATAAAAAATATCGTTTAAATTTGTATTTCTTTTATTATTGATGACCTTTAATGTATTTTTTTCCCACATCTTTGGAGGCCATTTTTTTTCTCTTTCAGAAATTTGCTGACTTCAAATTGAAATAGTATTCTTTTTCTTATTTGTAGGCATCTATACATACTAAGTCATTTGTCATGTATGTACTATTTTCTTAGTTTTTGATAATTCAACTTTATCTTGAGGGTGATTTCTTTTTATGACTTATTCCCTAGATGGCAAGTGGTTTTTCTAAGGTTATATAAATATTCACTGATATTTTCTGTATGCATTTTTCTATTCATATAATAAAAATATTATGGCCTTAAGTAAACTGATATAGTTTTCTTTTTTACAGAATATTTCTTAGGAACATTTATTTCTGATCTTTATGTTATTTGTACTTCCATTTATGTTTATTATATATTTATGTCATATACGATGTTACTTTGTGGAATCTATTTTCTATTATGTTTTCTAATAGACATTGCTATTATGTGGGAAGGTTATTCTAACAAATTTTCTGTTTATATTTTCTGGAAATATGGCTGTTTATTTCCAACTTAAATTTTTTTCTTTTGCCTTATTATACATGCAACAATTTCCAGAACAATATTGACTATCCAGTATTAAAAAGTGTTGTAACTACTATTCATTTATTTTATATAAATCTATATGTACATATATAATTTATTTCCTCTGTAAGCTTAAAAGGGAACGAGAGGCAAATGATTAGCAATTTAAATAAAATTCTGATAAGTTTAGTATAATTTATAGCATGATATTAATTTTTTTTTTCAGGAGTTGCTGCACCTGAATTACTTTATCTAAGGAAACAAGCTCAAGAACTGGTAGATGAAAATCATGGGTTGAAAATGACTGTTCATCGTTTGAATGTAGAGCTAAGTCGTTATCAAACAAAATTCAGACATTTGTCCAAGGAAGAGGTAATGTTTCTACTTAGAAAAATCAAACTTTTTTAAGCCTTTAATATTAAATTGATTTCCAATTCTGAAGGATTTTTAATGTACTATAATTTAATGTAAAAAAGATGCATCCAACCTGACACAGTGGTGCATGCCTATAATCCCAGTGATTTGGGAGGTTGAGGCAGGAGGATCTCAAGTTTGTGGCTAGCCTCAGCAACTTAGAGAGGCCTTAAGCAACTTAACAAGACCCTGTCTCAAAATAAAAAATAAGGGGGGGTGGGGAGCATGGGAAAAATGGAGGAACTTTGATTGGGCAAATGGGAGGAAGGGGAAGGATGGTGGTATGGAGGCAGGAAAGATGGTGGAATGAGATGGACATCATTTCCCTAGGTATATGTATGACTGCACGTATGGTGCAACACTACCTCATATATAACCAGAGAAATGAAAAGTTGTGCTACAATTGTGTACAATGAATCAAAATGCATTTTGCTGTCATATATACCTAATTAAAATAAATTAATTAATAAAAAATAAAAAGAGCTGGGAATGTGGCTCAGTGGTAAAAAGATATGCCAAAGCACAGTCTTTCTTAAGACCATTCTATTTCCTTTCTTCTTTACCTTTAATATAGGTGATAAAGACCTTGGGGGAAACATTGATACAGTATAGAAGCTCATAAAGTAAAAAACTGAAAGCCCATCTCAGTTGCTCCATTTTCATTTCTATTACAGCTATTATTTGCCAATATACAAACTGAAAAAAAGAAGTAGATGTTTATTGATGAGAGTGGTTGCAGAATTCATTTCTACAGGCTCTTACTAAGCAAGCTATTATATTAGATGTTGTGAAGAATAGAAGATAAGAGCAGGTCCGGCCCCTGCTCTTAGAGAATGGGAGGTGCACAGCTGGGGTCAAGGAAGGGAAAGCCATAGGCACACAGCATTATTATGTGGCTTCTGGGAGTTTAGGGCCTGTTGTTTTTGGTTTGGGTTTTGTTTTTTTTGTTTGTTTGTTTTGGTACCAGATATTGAACTTAGGGACACTTAACCACCAAGCCACATCCCAGACCTTTGTTTTTTATTTAGAGACAGGGTCTTGCTAATTGCTTAAGGCCTTGCTAAATTGCTGAGACTGGCTTTGAACTTGCAGTCCTCCTGCCTCAGCCTCCCCAAGCTGCTGGGATTACAGGTGTGCACCACTTCGCCCAGCAGGCCTGTGGGTTTCTGAGTTTTTTTCTTTTCTTTTTTTCCTCTTTTCTTTTTCTTTGTGTGTGTGGCAGGGGTATGTGTGTGTGTTAGGGATTGAACCCAGGACCCTGTGCATGCCAAATGCTCTACCACTGAGCTTCACCCCTAGCCCCTGAGTTTCTTTTTGAAGAGGGACTCAAGTTTGATTTTTTAAAAATAATAGCTTAGACCACAGACTAAATCTCCCCTATATGAAATACTTGAGACCAGAAGCCTTTCAACTTTTGAAGTTTAGGGATTTTAGAATATTTACGTAAACTTTACTTATTGAGCTTCTAATTGGAATTTTTTAATAAGTTCAGATTTTGGAGCATTTTGGAGTTTGGATTGTCCAATTAGGAATGCTCAACTTGTATAATTCACATGCCATTCATTTCACCCACTTGGAATGTACAGTTGAATGAGTTTTACTGTGTCCTCCAACTCAGGCAACCATCACCAGAGTCAATTTTAGAATATTTTTATCCCATGACGAAATTCATACCCATTAATGGTCACATTTACTTTCTATCTCTATTTGCCTATTTTGAACATATCATATATATATAGAACGATACAATGCATGGTCTTTTTTGACTGACTTATTATACTTAGCTTGATACTAATTATCTTTTTTTTTTTTCTGTTTTGGTGCTGAACTCAGGGCCTCACGCAGGCTAGGCAAGCACTGTAGCTCTGAGTTATACCCCCAGCCTCAATATTAACTTTTAACAACAAAATAAAGCTTTGGGGTCACATGATCCAAACTGTGTTGCCTAGTTCGGGTCCTTCTTCAGGGTAATGGGTGAGGCAGGGCAAGCAGGCCCATTGATAACCCTCTGGACACCCCCACCCTCCCTTGACTCCCCTGTACACCCTTTTTCTACCCTGTGCAAATGCCATATTTTTTTGTGATCACTCTAGCCAGAAGTAATGACCTCTCTTTAAATCATAATAGACTGCCACTGAGCTACATCTACAGACCATTTATCTATCTACCTATCTACCTGTTTACTATCTACCTGCCTACCTACCATTCTAGCCATCTATTTTTGTGGTATTGATATTGAACCCAGGATTGCTCTACCACTGAGCTATATCCCCTGCCATTTTTTATTTTTTGAGAAAGGGTCTCACTAAGTTGCCCAGACTAACCTGAAACTTGTGATTCTCCTGCCTCAGCCTCCCAAGTTGCTGGAATTATACACGTGTATGATGGTGCCTAGCTACACTGCACAATGACAATAAAAAAGTCATTTGTATTAAAAGACTTATCTCTATTATTAGACCATAAAATCCTTGAAAACTAGGATTATGTGGTAATGTCCATAATGACTTCACAAGTTCACAATGTTCATGGAATGAATGAATAATGAGATAGATGATTAAGGTGCATAAGTGGGAAAATTTCTTATTAAATAGGGAATAGCTCTATTGGGATCACTGCTTCTGTGCCAGGCTTTCTCTCTCGTGTAAACAGAGTTTGGGAAAGTCAAGGAGACTAGAACTTTCAGGGCAGGAATACCAGAAAGGAGGGAGCTCCATAGATAAAGAAATTCATAAATCTGCATGGAATTCCTTGTATCTTTTGTTAAATACTAGTATGCACACATGTAGGATGGAGCCCCGTTAGACCGGCAGAAAACAAGTACAGGAATCTGTGAGTTGAATAGTTCCCAGAGCTCACATAGCACAAGGAGAACTTTGAGTTCTGATCGCTGTAATAGAGAGAACTTGTTGAATGCTATGACATTAGGAGTGTGGCTAAACTAGCCTTTCAGTAAGGGTTATTACAGACCCACCAGATTATTTTCACCCCACTAGGGTGAAAAACAAGCCTGAAAGGAACAAGCCGACCCATGAGATCAGTGCCTGTTTAAAACAAATAAACACACACACTCAAAAAAAAAAGAGAGAGAGAGAGAATAACCAAAAATCATTAAAGAAAGACAACAAAATCCAGACACCATGTAACATTCTCAAAGTTTAGCATCCTAATAAAAAATTACTTATGTTTGAGATAGTATTATTTCAGATAGTATTGTATCAGTGTTGATTTTCTGATTTTCATTGTAGTACTGTGGTTAGGTAAATGAATGTTTTTGGTTTTAGGAAATATGCACTGAAATATTTAGAGGAAAGAGAGCATTACTCTCAAACATTTCAGAAAAGTTTTTCTCCTATATACATTCATGCAAACATAGGGGTGAATGATGCTGGTCTAAATTAATAATGTAGAAGACTTCAAATTTCAGAGGACGTATATTTTATTTTGTCTTCAATATGTGTTTTATTCTTAGAGCTTACATACTGAAGGCCTCCCATCAAAAGGCCCTATACCACCCTGGCTGGTAAGTGAAAGTTATTTAACTTCAGGCCTAATATTTTCTGGGCTGTGTTTGCATACCTATTACAATCTATTCCAATATAAGTATGTCTTCTTGCCTTTTTAAATTTTTGCCAGTTGTGTTTAGATGTAAGAAATATATTAACCACCTCTTACTCCATTGTCTTCAGTTGGATATAAAGTGCCTTTCACCGTTGTTGCTAGCTTATGAAGATAGAATGAAAGAGAAGGATGAGCTTAATGCCACCCTTGAGGTAGGTTGGCAGATGTCTCAAAAGACTGATTTATAAAAGTAAAACTGGTTTCCAATTTTGCAGGAACATTCTGAAGGTAAGTAAGCATGCCTAACATGTGGTAGGTCCTGTTTATTAAAAGAAGGAAAGGAGGAAGAAAGGAAGGAGTATGGAAGTGGGAGAAGGAGGGAAAGAGGAAGAGAGGCAAAGAGGAGAGAGGGAAGATGGAAGAGAGTGATTGGCAGAGCAGGGGGGTGGGCACAGGGGGAGAGATATGGAGGGGGGCAGGAGGTGCTGCACTGGAAACCATGGTTATAGCCTAGGCAACCTCAGTGGACTAGGACCTTGGGTGCAGAGAACTCAGCAATAGGGAGACACTTCTCTTATGGGACTTTGCAGCTGCAAATACCACCATTTCAAGAAACCTCTGGGCAGGAAAGGAAAGTAATAGGCCAGGGTCATGATAGGCAAACTTAAATGCTTATTAATTCCAGGAAGAACTGACCCCAGGGAAGTCAAGTAATTGAGCTGTTGAAGTGCTTAGGAAGTGAGGTTTTCTTAATTTGTGCTTTGTGGAAATGGCTTTTGCCAGCAAAACTCCTTCTAGTTGTGCAGGAAAACAAGCACAGGCATTACTTATGCCTCCTATACCTCTGGGTTCCTCAATTAAGTGGCCAAATAGATCTCTAGAATTGGAATTGGAAGAATCCAGAGAGAGAAGCGTTGGTTTTTATGGAATCCTGAGGAAGAAGAGTTCTTTAAGAGTCACCCAGCCTGCTCTTCAGTTGTGCTGTTCCATGTTATGTGTCCTGGGAAATGCAATTTTGAATCTTTTCATCTAGACTTAGTATTGGACACTTAGTTTTTTAAAAGCATGAATTAATCTAGTACTAATTGATCAAAAATCAATCCTGATAATAAAATTGCTATTTTTACACTCTTTCTAAATCAGGATCAGCCCACTTTTTCTGTAAATATTTCAGGCTTTGTGGTTCGTGCAGTTTCTGTTTGCAGCTATTCAACTCTGCTATTGTAGCATGAAAGCAACTGTAGACAACATGTAAACACTGGGTGGGTCTACAGTGCATTAAAACATCAGGTGAATGGACTGCCCACTGTAGTTTGCCTGACTCGGTTCAAAAGAGAGCCAGGTGGGCTGGCAGCTATTGGAGAGTAACTGGGTAGAAGAGGAGAGGAAGCAACTTGGCAATGCTGCTGAGACAAACAGGTGTAAGCATAAATATCTAATAGTTAGGAGAAAAATATTGCAAAGCACCCCAGAGTAAATGTTGGCACCCAAGATTCTTATAAAGGACAGTGCAGGACACTGAAGCCAGACATATACTGGCCAAGAAAAGCCATGGTGGAGGAGGAGGAGGCCCTGGTGAAGTGCCATAAACATCATTAGGAGCCTAAAGCTGAGACTGAACCACAGATCTGGAATCAGAGTTATAGGGACTGATGCCTTTTAATAAAGAGGCTTTCTCATGTTTGCTCTGAGCAAGATTAAGAGCCTCCAGCCCCCATACCAACTGACCAATTCCCCAAGCAAATGGGCTTTCATTAAGTTCTTATGTTTTACATAAAACCCTCCTATTTATCCTCTAGAGTCTCTAAGGAAAGAAAAAATTGCAGTATTTATGGGCATCTTGGCTTTTTTTTTTCTATTGCCCTTTTACATTTTTCAAATGTTTCGCAATTATAGAAAAATGTTTTCAAATCAGGAGTTGGATATTTAAAAAGCCAGGTTCTTTGTCCCTGTGCTCCATGACTTTGCAGTTGCCTGGTGCATTGTCTCACTAGACTTTTAGCTCTCTGAGGGCACATGGCACTGGGACGCAGAGTTTAAGGCTGGTCCTGGGGTGAGGCTTTGCCAAATGGCTATGGACAGTGGATTGTAGGCACAGCAATAGCACTAGAGCCAAGAAAGAGAAGTGCACGTGGATGTGGATGTTACAGTTTACATAAATTTTATTTCAGGAGGAAATGAGAATGTTTAGGATGCGAGTCCAAGAAGTGGTGAAAGAGAATGAAGAATTGCACCAAGAGTTAAATAAGAGTAGACCTGTTACCAGTGATGAATGGCAAGTGATGATATTTCTAGTATTTTGCTAATTTAAAATGCAAGAGAATAGAAATAAATTTTATGAAATCATGAAGTGCATTAATATATTTTCTTTTTTAACAAATATATTTTAAGGAAGTTTCTTAGAAATTAAGGTACTATAAAATCATAGTAAACTATTCTAAAATGGTATTTTTCTTTCTTTTTTGGTACTGAGGATTGAACACAGGGACACTTACCACTAGGCTATATCCCCAGCCTTTTTTGTAAATTTTAAGACAAGGTTTTCCTAAATTGCTGAGGCTGGCCTTGAATTTGCAGTCTTCCTACCTCAGCCTCCTAAGTTGCTGGGATTACAGGCATGTACCACCACTTCCAGCTTCTGTTTTGATTTTTCTGAGGTGATATTTCTCAATTCCTCTGGTCACTTCCAGGACTTTGGAATATAAAGGATAAAGCCTACACACATGACAGCAGATATTCACCCTCTACTCCTCTTTTCTGCTGCTCCCATCCCTGGAGGCCCCTTCCACATTCCTTACCTTTCAGGGCTCAAATGGTGCTGTCATTAACTCTCCCTGAATGCAGAGTTAGTGCTCCCTTGTCTGTTTCTGACATAGTCCGAAGCATTTGCCCTGTCCTGGTACCTGGTACGCTATACCTACCTGTCCTGCATGTCTCCACTCTGTGTGTCTGTTCTCCTTTGCCCTCCTCAAGGGCAGTGACCACATCCTGTTCATGTTGGTATATAACTGCATCCAGCTCAGTAAAACAAATGCCCCTATGATGAAGTAGAGGAAGTAAAACTCATGAAAAGTCTTAATGGCGTTATCCAGGCAAGGCTAAGAAGATGATTTGTTTTGGGGAGGTATGAGACATTTAGTATTTTTTAAATGTCTTAATGTTACTGAAAAAATGAAATATATCCCATTATGTTTACTGATTGATATGTCCGTCAAGATTGGCGTGGGCATCCACTGGACTTTGGTGCACTTGATTTCCCCTGTTGAACTTGGATTGTCTTCTGTCGGGGTTCCTGAAGATTTCTCCTGTTAGTGCTCCTTGAACAGCACCCAGGACAACAGGTCTCACATGCCCCCAGGAGCCTTCGGGAGAATCTGGAATCTTAGGTTCTTTTCCTAACCTTGTTTATCGCTATGAATCAAGTTCTTTTATGTTTCCTTAAAATAAAAATAAATCAGTA